CAGTAAGGCTAACAACCCTGAATATAAAAACGCCAAGTTTTCGGTTTACGGGTTGCCATTGGTCCTACAGGTATGATCCCAGACACTTGCTGTCCTTCCCATACAGCTTTTTAAATGCTCACAGTCACTTTATGTCCTTCCCAGACAGCTTTTTAAATGCTCACAGACACTTTTTGTCACTTAGGTGTGGGCTTATGAAAAAATTCCTAAATTTGGGGAACACTTTGGCACCCGTGTTGGTAATCATGAAGTCTCAATACTAAATTGGTCATGTCATGGGAAATTCCGGTCATCTAAGATACGAGAAATTGTCTTTGTTGATGTAAGTCTTCTTACTTTTTCAATTATAATTGTCCCCTAATATATATATTTATAATACGAAATCATGTTCATGTTTTCATAGGAGTTGCGTACACCCTCTTCTTCCGATGCTGAAGATGAAGACAATATTGAAGTTGAAACAAGGGAAAGAGTTCAAGCAATGTGTTCGGACATTGATGAGATCAAAAGCAGTCTTCAAAGGTTGGACAAAAAAGTGGAAGAGGAGCTTAGTGAACTGAAACACTTGATGGTTCAGGTTATTGATACAGTCAACAAGGCGTTAAAGGAAAAGGTATAGACATCATTTGTCTGTGTAGTATTTTGTTGTGTCTGTATTTACTGCATATATGTTTGTATGTAAAATTACTATACGCTTCTCTTGGTTTGTAAGGGGGGTCCTTCTGCCCCAAGTGAGCTGGAAGAACAAAACGAAGTTGGTGCAACAGATGCTGAAGGGGAGAAAAATAATGTTGTTGTTGGTGAACCACAACATTTGGTATGTTGTTTAACTAGTTTGTGTGCTATTTTTAGTGTATGTATGTATCAATTTTTTCCTGTATGCACATTTCGTGTTGTCTGTGCAAAACTAATAAGTGTCTGTGAAATACCAAATGATTAGGGTGAACTGGATAAATCTTATCCTGATGTTACTGAACATCAAAATGTGTGTGCAGATCATATTGTCAATGTTGCTACTGAGGTTTGTTGTTTAATGTGTTTGTAGTGTCTGTAACTACCAATGTTTTGGCTGTATTTATATGTTTTGTTGTTTGTGTGTAAATGTTATATGTCTGTGATGTGTGTAAATGCTTAGCCTGAAGGGGAGAATTCTATTGTTGTTGATAGTGACGCACAAAATTCGGAAATAGATCCAGTAAAGATTGTAGTGGACGAGGTATGTTTAAGGATACAGTCATACTGCTTGTGATATTTACATTGTTGTTGGTTAAGAAAGATTTTGCATTAATCATTCCTAAATGAGGTTTACCTTCATTTCAAAGTTGAAGTGGGAATTTGAGCAAAGTATGACAGGCCACATGTATGAGGAGTGTCACACTCCCACAAATCTTTTGATGTGCCTAAAAGAGGTGCACATTGCGATTTCCAAAATGTTTTCATTTACACAGATAGTTCATAGTTCACACAGACAGTACACATGAAGTACACATGCAAATTATAAATGTGTAGGTTGAAGATGACAAGATCCCTGCTTTGACAGTTCCATTCGAAAAATTGGATTGGGATGTGGTTGGTGATGATGTTGGAACTGCTGGGGTAGACATGAAGGCCATTGAAGAGGTGAGTATGAAAGAATTGAGGAAGAGAAAGCGGTTCAAATCTAAGTACATCTGTAGCCCATTCATTGCGCCGGCGGCTAAGAGGCTTAAGGTTGGAGGACGTGATGGTGAGTATGATTCTTTCAAGGCATGGGTGGAGGAAATTGATGGTATTGAACCTAGCGTACTTCACCTAGATATTCCATCATCTTACCCGACAAATAGGACATTCTTCCGAGAGCTAATGGATGAAAATGAATGGCTAAGTAGCGAGGTGAGTCATAATAAGAAGTATTTCATTTTACACTATTTTAGTTGAATGCTTTGATTGTGGATTTATTTTTTTGATTGAAGCATTTGGATGCTCTAGTTCTTCTGTTCCGCAAATCCATAAAGACCGCGGCCTATGAACTCATGAGCCCTTTGTTCACGGTATTTCATTAAAACTTTATATTATGTATGCGGTTTTGATACGTTTTGTCTGTGCCTTGATACATTAATGTTTGTGCTTTCATACTATTGTTGTCTGTACTTTTGTTTTTGGTCCAGTACCAACTTTTACAGAAGGATGCAGCAGATGACAAACAATGGAAGGGGGACCGATTACTCAAGAAAATGGATTGGAGTCGATATGAAAAGGTTGGTTTGAATAATACGTATGAAAAAGTTAGTTTGATTAATAACTACTTTATTTACTTTAATGCAGGTGTTCATGCCTGTGCACAGTGATGAAAAACATTGGGTGCTATCTGAAATTGACCTACTCAATAACTTCGTACGGGTATACGATTCTTTGAAGATGAGTAGGTCGGTTGCATCTGTGAGGCTTTTGTGTATCCGACTTCCACTCCTGTTTCGGGTCATCAAATGCAACCCTGTCGTTACCTCCATAGCCCATTCACATCCTTGGAGAGCGGAGGCAGTGGATGATGTTCCACAACAACACTCAGGGTACACTCATGTCTGTACACAAATACAATTTGTCTGTGCATAGAAATGTAATGTTTGTATGAATTGTATTATTTTCATATCCGGTGTTTGCGGAGTTATAGTAGCAGCGTTTGCGGAGGCACTGTTGCAGAAGTTGCCCTTGATGCCAGAGTGTGCGTATGAGAACATGGCAGCGAAAAGATGTGAATATGCATTGAGGCTCTGGAGTTTGAGGAAGCGATCAAAGTAGACTTGTTTTAATGGGTGTGAATATTTAGTGTACAATGGTTGTGGATGTAAAATCTTTGATTGAACCTTACTATTTAGTTTTGGCCTGCATGGGTTTGGTTGTGAAATGTAGGAGGTTGTACAATATTACAATACCAATGTTGTACAATGTCCTAGAATGTACTCCCAAATATTACCAATGTTGTACATTGGTATGCTTTTTTGTTCTGTGTTAAACACTAACTGTCATTGATGTTCATATAAACATAGAAAGCTTTTTTGTCTGTGATTTATATTCACTTTGTCTGTGTTATGTACACTATAATATCTGTAACAAACACATTGTGTGTCTGTGAAGAACACACACTTTGTCTTTGATGTGTGTTACTTTTGTCTGTGAAGAAAAACACTCTGCTATACTTAGAATAAAAGACTTTTTGACAAAAATAGACATTATAAAAATTAAAAGTACACTATAATATCTCTGACAAACATATTGTGTGTCTGTGAAGAACAAACACTATGTCTGTGATGTGTGGCGTATTTGTGCAATGTGTCTGTGAAGAACAAGCACTTTGTCTGTGTTTTAATACATCAAACTAAGATTTAAATCTAAACCACTACAATTCATCATGTCATTAAGTCCACCTTGTCCATTGCCATCCTGAGAGGTCGGTTGTGGGGTACTTGCATTGTCGGTCCTAGCATTTGATTTCTTCTTCCCCTTCTCCAATGGTCCTTTTTGGCGGTTTTTCCTCGGTGCACCCTTACGCTTTGCACACTTCGGATCTCCAATGATTTTTGGAACGTCACCTTGCACACTAGTGCTCGCTTGTGGGATAGATGTAAGGTTGCCACATATGGAAGAAGGATGAACTTGGGGAGGAGTATATGTGGACAATTGAGACTCCAACCAAAGAAGAACACTTTGGTACTTCTCATCATCATCCGCAATCATGTTTGCAAGAGATTTAAATGTCTTGCACAACTTATGAAAGCGTTCTTGTTCCACCGTTGTGATCCACCCATCGTAATTGATTTTCACCTTCGTGTACGCTCTTTTAACATCTTTCCTCCATCTTTTCAATAAGTAGACCTCGGGCAAGAGCTCTAATCCAAGGCGAAGTAAGACCACAATCAAGTGTCTACAAACCGTACCCCTAAATTCGAACAAGTGACAACTACATATTCCAAAAGTAATCAATGGGTCATATTCTACAACAAAGTTAATGGTCTTTCGAAACCCATTAATCTTTCGGACCTCCTTTACATTAAATTTTGTATCACCTTCGCTTTGTAGGAGATCACAATATAATGTACCTACAAGTTCATCTTGAAACTCCTTAAACTTCGCTAGAGTGTAAATTTCCTGGACTTGTTCTTCCATTTCAAATGATGTAACACAAGGAATCGTTTTTGCAAATGAACTTGTATCGGCGTGAAATTCTTTTTCTGCCTTACTTCGCAGTGCACGTCCGTATTGTTCAACGAATTGTTTAAGAGTAGTTTTCGAATTCACAAAGTCATCGAAAAAAGCATTGATACTTTCACTTCGTTGAGTGGTAGACATACCCGCCCAGAAGCTTGGCTTTAAGAAACATGGTACCCACCGGTGTCGTTCATTGTACATCACTGCAAGCCATTCATGGTCTTTGAGGGAATACCTGAAATAACATTAAACAATATACATCAATTACATATACTATGTACACCACAGACACTATTGTGTCTGTGCTGTACATTTGTTATGTCTGTGACATACAAATTTCTTTCATACACAGACAATACCTCTCTGGAATGGGCACGCAATCTTAGCACATATACAATGTGTTTTGTGCCCGCAAACATTAATGTGTCTGTGTGGTACATTGCAAATGTAAGTGCAGTAAAATAAGTCGTATGTGCCATGATCATACAAATAAGCTCTAGTTCCACAAACATTATAATGTCTGTGTAGTACACATACATTGTCTGTGATGTGAATATAAACTTAGTTCATAGACAAATTGCTTCTGTAATGCGTCAATTTTTTTAGGAAATAAAGGGTACCTTTGTATCATGTCCTTCCACCTTTACTCAAATTCTGGAACATATTGAGAGTCATAAATCGATTCGTGAATAGCATCCAAGATTTCTTTTTTTTTTCTTTAATTCCTCCCATTTTTTCTGGTACCTTTTTCATAATATGCCATAAACACCATCTATGTCTTGTATTTGGGAAAACAATTTGGATTGCGTTTTGCATTGCACGGTCATGGTCCGTAATAATGCCCATTGGAGCCCGTCCTTCCATACACTCTAGTCATGCTTTAAAGAGCCATACGAATGTTTGCGTATCTTCATTAGATATTAATCCGCATCCAAGCAAAATTGATTGACCGTGATGATTAACTCCCACAAAAGGTGCAAAAGGCATGTCATACCGATTCGTGAGGTAGGTCGTGTCAAAAGTGATGACATCTCCAAACTCTTTGTACGCATATCTACATCGGTTGTCGGCCCAAAACACATTACGCAATCGAGATTCGTCATCTAAGTCAAGGACGAAGAAAAATCCGGGGCATTGAGCTTGCATTTTAGCAAAGAACTCTTGAATTGCCATGACATCACCACTCGCTAACCTAAGTTGTCTTACCTTTTAAATGTAGTTCCTACAATCTTTTTCAATAAAAGGAAGTTGGTCATATCCACCGGCTTCAACAACGGCTGCATTGAAGGTCTTATGAAGTCGTATTCCGACGACATCGTTGATTGCAATTTGCCTCATTGCTTGGGGAGTCAAAGTCCTATGGCACCGGAATAGGCGAGCCTTTGTTGGGCTCATGGGATGAGTATGATCAAGGCAGATTTTTTATATTTCCCAACGTCCCTCATAATTTGTGTGTGCTCGTATTCTTGCTCCGCACCCCATTTGCATTGAAGGTTGAGGCTTCAATTGATTTTTTGACCTACTAGATCTACTACCGGCATGAGAACACTCTAGTAACACTCCAACAATATCCACCCCATTTTTGTGTTTGGTGGTACTCCTAGTTCTTACGGGAAACCCTAAACGCTTCCCATATGTTTTGTAAAAATCATACACCGCTTCTTTGCTATCAAATTCCATACCAACCTCTGGAGCTTTTATAGAACCAACGCCACTCTCATTTTGCTGAATTTCTCCATCTGACCAACATGCACAGACATAAGTATATTTAAGCACATAGGCAGTGGTCTATTTACGCACAGACAGAAGTATATATACACACAGACACAATTATATTTACACAAAGACATTTCAAACAGAAGTACATGTACTCACAGACATAAGTAAATTTAAAACTTTATTTACACAGACAAAAGTCAATACACTTCACAGTGAAGAACTAACACATATATATTTACTTTAAAGCAAATGAAATCAAAACGAACTCATACCAAGCTCAGGGACGTCGTCCATGGCGGCCGCCGCCGAGTCGCCATCAACTTCCGCCGCCACCGGAATTTGTCCTTCAACTCGAGAACCACCGATCGTTTGATCCCAATCGGCCCAAAAGTCATCCACGGTAGTATCAATGATGGTTTCGTTCATAATACCACCAAAATCCATTGTTTTGAAGAGAAGAACAAACCAATTGTGCAGTTGGGTGATGTTGCGGGAAGAAGAAAGAAAGCAAGAAGCGGGAAGGGAGGAGGGAGGGGTTGTTTTGCAGACTCTGTTTTGCACATGTGGTAGGAGAGGGGGTAAAAAAATAGTAAATTTTTAGACTATTTATAGTGTGTATGTGTGTGTATGATAAGTGTGTACCCAAAGCAAAATTGTCATAATTTATCTTAGTTAACTATAGTATGTGTTATTGGATTGAAATCTTTGCGATTGTTTCATATTTAAAAAGGTGGTCTTCTAAATGAATTTTGAAAAATGTGTTTAATAGTTAAAATTGATAGACGATAAACAAAATAGTTAAAATTGATGCTGTATCGGAAAAAGTGATTCTGACAAAATAAAAGGTTTAAAATATTTAATTTGGTAAAAGCACTTTACACTTCTAGCTTTTATAAAATAAAACTTTTTATCAAATTGCTTATATAAGTCTTACGATGAACCAAATGACCAAGTATCACTTTATGAAGACTTCCTATACATAAGAAGTTAGTAAAGGAAATATGAGAAAATTAAAAGCGAGAGATTTGCCTCTGTGGTGTACACTTTCAATTCTATAGAAGATTTTACTATGAATGCACGTGAAACATTTGAGCTGCTAAAAAGACTCAAAATGGCATGCACTAGGACGTATAGTGTTGCTTTTGTTCATAAAAAGACTTCCAAATGTCTTGTAGAATTTCTGTAGGATGACATGTCTTATGCCTACTACGGATCATATTTATATATGAATTTTTCATCCTCCCAAGAATAATGAGCAGGAAAAGTTAAACATTAACTGCCACCACAATATTAAGATAAGGTGTTTTTGGAAGTTGGTTTTTGGAAAGGAGGGGAAGGCATGTGAAGGTTTTATAAGGTTTAGCTACGCAAATGATAGATTTGTCCTCTGAAACTAAAATCGCTCCCGCATAAAATCTTTATGAGATGCTACTCGCTTCATTTCTCCGCAGCTGAAACCCCTCTAGTCCCCAAACCCTCCTCCTTTTTAATTTGGAACTCCCATACAAGAGGAGAGAATCCCTTCCCATCTCCCTCCCCTTCCCTTCTCTCTACTCCCTTTCAAAACGTTCCCCTTCCCTCATCCTCAAACTCCCAAACACACCTAAGATAAATTAAAACCAATTGGTGTATCATGCATACATACGTTCTTATCCACTCATTTCAGAATCGTCAGTCGTCTGAGGATCCCCAATCGCCTTACCCTCATAAACACGACCCTCACTTATCGCGCAACTTCCGGAGATTTCCCTCTCGACACCGAAGAAACAAACGCCCAGACCACCTCGGAACCGGCCGGACGAATTCGATTCCCGGCTCTCCAGGATCCGTATCCGTTACCGGAGCAGATTAGGCAAGAAAGCAGAGCGCATGCAGATAATGTTTTTGGCTGCTGAGTATTTATTTCATCACAACTCACAGCTACTTATATACAAATTCTAACTAAATTATATTCAAAAATGGGAAAACAGATACAAAAAACTCGCTGGTGGAGCTCTGCCTTTATAGTGCAAAATTTAGGTACGCATTGCTAAGAATAGCATGAACCATGCTCATTTAGTGTGTGACCGCCCTTTTCCACCAATACAAAGCAAGCAAGGCAAACATTAAATCACAATTTTCTTGAATAGCAGCCACCACCCTTTGGACCAATAGGAGGCCGGCCTAGTTTTTTTTAAAAGCTGTCCGCACCTCAACCTGCAGCCAATGGCCGGGAATGGGCTTTTACCACAAAAAATCAAGTGGCGGCCGAACCCATACTGCTGCATTACGTTCCTTCGATAATTCTTTTCACGAATAAAAAAACTAAAAACTGAAGTGGACTCTTGTGGGCGAGAAAACTATGCCCCAAACTTCTTTTCCTTTTATACGGAGTATAAGAATAGATATTCCCTACTCGTTTAATCAGTTTTGAATTTCATGTAGACACCACAACAAGTTCACAAAGATGCTGATGGTCCCGGATAGGGTAAAAGTCTAGAGAGAGGTGAATAGACTTTTAAATCTTTTTCGACTTTTGAAAGTTTTCCCTCTAAGAGAGTTAATCTATAAACTTTTGAGAGATTTATAGATGCACAGCGGAAGTCTTTACCCTTTGTGTAATGAGTGTTTAGCCACTTTCTAACTTGGAGAGTGTTTGGCTTAGAATGCTAGCAGTTGGCTTAGCAGGTGGTTAAGAGCAGGGAACTGCTGAGGCAACTGCTCAGAAAATGCAGAGTGTATGATGAAGGTAGAGATAGTTGTTTGATGAGTATGGTGTGACCTTTTGGTAAGTATGCTTAAATGAAGGGAGACTAGCTTTTTGCTGAAGCAGTGGACTCGGCAGTTGGGTGAATATGAGGAAACTGCTGAGCCACCTGCTTGGGTCAAAAGCTTATTGAGTTAAGCAAACTTCTTGATGAGGTAGTGACAATCTGGTGATATTTGAGATGTTGACAAGAAACGAGTATATATGAGCAGAGGGCTCAGCAGTTGAGTGGACTCCAGGGAACTGCTGAGGCATCTGCTGTACTTAGAAGGTGAGTTTAGAGAACTGAGAGAGTGATCCTTTTAAGTGGTGTTGGTGCACATTAAAGGTGTGAATCTGGTCTTAAAGAAAGTGAGTAATTAAGCAGTAGGATAAGCAGTTGGGTCAATTAAGACAACTGCTTAGGATTCTGCTGGCAAACTACAATCTTTATGTGAGAAGTGTTGGGGGTGTGCTTTGTTGACTGAAGTGAATTCAACACACGATATATCCTGGTTCAGAGGTGGTGTAATCCTCTTGCGTCCAGTCCCACCCTCTTTCAGATGGATTTCACTAAAGTATTAAGCCCAATACACTTAGTGTCAATCTAGCATTTACAACACTTCGGCCTAGATTGAAGGTTTTTCACGATGAGTATAGCACCACTCAAAGTTACTCAGTCCTTAGACTTTTCTCTAATGAACCAGTGGGGATCAAAAGGTACTCTATCTACTTACACCGTAGGATCCGAACAACTGTTCTCCTAAGTGGTTACAACAATATGTGATTTGTTACAAGAAAGTTCTAACCTCCAACTAGGAACTAAACTTCTATGATGTAGCAATGAAGAGCTCGTATACTTGAAGTTTAGTGAAGCATGAGTCCAAGCAGAGAGTAAAGTTTAGAACTGCACTTTCTCTTTTGCTAGATATCTCGTGTATGCTTGTGATAGAAATTATCTCTTTGGATGCTCAAAGCTTGGTTAGAAACTTTCGTTTCAGCCTATATTTATAGGCATCTCCTTTGAATTAATCTCATCCGTCGGTTAGGATGGATTAATCTTTGACATTGAAATTCTGACAAGGACAAATTGTACATTCGTCTTCTTGTGTTGGAGCTTTAATTCAGGCTGATGCATTTGTCTTGAATAATTCACCCGCTGAAGTTTCTCTCCACATGAAACAGTTTCATGTGTGCGTCCCATGCTGCGGCCCCCAGTACTTGATTCGGTATTAAATACCGGTCAAGTTTTGTCTTCAATCATTCATTTGATATTACGAGCTTCGTGACATATGAGTAATTTTTGAGTCAAATAGTATTTGCCGGTAGGATTAAAATATCCTATTAAGGTAAAGAAATTTTACCTTATTCCATTTTAATTTTTCCGGTAATATTTCTTAGACTCAAAAACCGTACATTTAATTTGTCACGTTAGAATTAGAACAAAAAGAGATACAATGTACACGTGCTAAGTATGGTGGCATCATCAAAATATTATCAAAATTGGGTACTAACAATTTCCCCCTTTTGATGATGCCAAAACTATACAACACAAGTAACAAACATTTTTATTGATTTTCTTTGAAGTTTTGTACATTGTTCTAATTTCTAGAGTACAATAGTTTATAGTAAGTTTCGGACTCAGATCCTATTCTATTCTTCTTTGTCTTCTTGTGACTTCTTCTTGGCTTCCTCCTTTGCCTTTGCCTCTTCTGCCTTTCTTCTTCTTATTTCCATTTCTTCTTGTAGCCGCTTGTTCTTCTTCCTGGTTTCCGCTGCTTTCTTGGCTGCTAGAGACCTTGTGGATGAGGGGCCTGCTTGTGTTGTTCTTTCCCCCTTTTTGGCATCAGCAGGGGTCTCACTTTCTCTGAATAGTGCTTCGATCTCCGGGTCAGAATCAACCTCAATTTGTCTTCTTCTTGTTGGATGGAGGTCGTTGAATTCGATGGCAAGTGAAGTGACTAAGTTTCGAAGATCAGTGACATCTACCTTGATTTCTTCTTTGATTTCTTGCTCAAGCTTATGAAGTTGTTGAGTTGTTGCTTGTTGGTGTAGGCCCAGTGTCTTGAGCTCATCTCTTTGCTTTTGAAGAGCTTCTTGAGTAGCTGCATGTAGCCTCCCTAGATGATCAGCAACATCTGCTCTAGTCTTTCCTATTGCTTCTGAGTGCTCTTCTTGTTTGGTGACCAACTTCTTGGAGAGATTTAGGATGGCAGGCAGCTCCTTGGTCTTGAGATAGTGTGGGAACCTCTCATGCACCTGGATAGTTTGAAGGGTCTGCTTGAGATTAGTTGGTAAGGTAGAGTTAGAAAGTACCTGGGCAGAGGGCTCTGCTTCTACTTGGGCAGAGGGCTGGGTTGCACTTGTTGATTGCTAGACTGCTTGAAGCTGACCTTGTAGCTCTAAGCATAGAGCTTGAAGGTTCTGAAGGCCTCTCTGAATTGCTTCTGCCTGACCTTGTTGAGTATTGATGTAGGCTTCATGTGCATTGACTTGTTGGAGAGCCTCTTTGATGTTAGGTGGCAGAGAATGTAGAGGTGCTCCTGTTTGCTCTTGATCATGTAGTTGCTTTAGTAGAGTCTGAATTTGAAGCTCAAGTTCCCAGTCCTTAGCTCTTTGAGCTGCTAGTTCTTTGTGAATTTCTTCGATTTGAGCGGGCTGCTGGGAAATCTGCATCTTTAGCTGGGCCTTTTGTTCTGAGTTGAACACCTGCTGGATCATGAGGGTGCTTTTGATGTGGCTGTGAACCTCTGCAAACATTGCTTCCAGAAGTTTGTCAAAATGTTTTTGCATTTTGATCAATCGCTTGTGAAGTCTAACCTCCGCATTGCTTATGAACTTTGTAGTTGCTCTCCGTTCATGCATGAAGACCTCAGCCAGTGTGGGGGTGTCCTTTTCTCCTTCTTTGAAGATTTGCTCCCGTATGTTATTTAAAGTTGTAGGCTGCTGTGTTGGGGCAACATCTTGCTGAGGTTCTGAATTTAGGTCAAGAAGTTGAGGCCCCTGCTC